ACTCTTTTGATGGTAAGCTTGATTACGAGATGGAGGGTTTTGATAGCTCCAACAGTTCATCCACATATACATCTCAATTTGAGGCAGATTTATACTTTATATGGCTGTGATCAGCATAATATAGAGATCCCTTAGCATTACATTCGCAGTACAATCTATTTATGCTAGGGGGATTTTCGAGGACATGCTTTTGGTATCATTTATAGCTACTTGATTGCGCTATTTTATTTTATCTTATCAGGGTTGGATTTTTCATCCTAACACTCTAATGGTAAGCTTGATTATGAGATGGAGGAGGGTTTTGATAGCTCCAACAGTTCATGCACATATTTATCACAGTTTGAGGCCGATTTTTACTTTATATGGCTGTGACAGCACAATATAGAGATCCCCTGGCGCATTACATTCGCGATTTGGTTCACATTCATGTTGTCAGTGCTTTTTACCATCTTTAGCTACTTGGTTTCTTTGTGGATCATCATTTTCCTTCTATGTCTCAATTGGATAAAGCGACCTCGTTTACAGATCAAGCTCATATTAGACTATTCATGTTTGCTCCTCTTTGTCGAGAATAGGTAAGTGGTTATTCTTTCTCTCCCTTTTTGTAGGCTCTAGAAAAGAAAGTTTCCAATATTATTGGCAATTATTTGATTCGTTCAATTACATTTTTTTCTTTGATTTTGATGCTTATGCTAGACGTGGACCAACCCTTTACTTTAGGCGCGTAGTGTTTGGATTTTCAAAACAAATAAAAATAGTTTAAGTCTCGACTGTTGTCTTGAACACTTTTTCTGCTTGTAAAAGGCTGTTCAAGGCTGATCACAGCTATTAGGAAGTCTGTTCCTCTTGCCCATCCCAAGATGTACGGGAAAGGGATCTCGGGGTGTGATGGTAGTATAGGAGCCATCCACTACACTCCCTTTGTACGCACGAGGCACGTACCAAAGAGAAGGCTCTAATTTCACTGGCGTAAGTGAAAGTGCTAGCAGAGTTGCTTTAAAAAATGCAAATGTTTAAATGCTCATGAAGGCCATGCAACAGAAAATTGTACATCCTCTGAATGCAGATGCTGATTAGGCCAAAACCAAGACGACTCGGACACAGACGTGCGTAGTTACACCCGACTAAAAAAAACTCCTAAGGCTCCCCCAGGACGGGAGTGGGGGACAACCCTACGCGTAGACAACAACAGCACCGACTCTACGAAGTCCGAATAGAATCTTTTTGTTTCTTGTGAATAATAATTATTCGGCGAAGCGATCCTTCTAGCTGTTTTGCTTGCTTTTGGAGTCTTGTGGCGGCTATTATGAATAGAGAAGAGGTTGGAGCGAGATGAATGTGATTTGAAAGTCAATTTTTAGATGGCCTGCCTTCTATGTTTTAATAGATCGAAAGAGTAGGAATGGATAGAGAAGAGGTTGGAGCAAAAAGGCGTTCCATATTCTTTCATACAAGGGCTATGGTCTCGTGTCAGCCAAGTCCTTCCTTTGACATGAATCCTATTCTTGAACAAATTACAATATTTTCTATGGAGGAGCGACGAAATATGAGGCACGAAGCGCTTATTAGCTTCCTCCTTTTGGATAGAATTTTGAGATAGCCAGTCGCGCATTCTTCCTTGATGTTGCACATCTATCTTTATATTCAATGCCTCCACCTATTTCATTGCGACTATCTCTTTTTTTTCTAGAAATTCATGAATGAGACTTTCTCAATGTGAGGTACTCAATTCCATTGAGCAATATACGGGTAACTGAATAGCTAACGCTAGCGTGGCCAATGCTTATTCAACCTTGTTTTCTTCTTTCTACACATGCTTTTGATCATCCTTTGACTAAGTGTTCCGCCAAAGCATGATATGCCTTCTGAGGGTGGGGAAGGAAGAGCTGGTATGACGTGTCAAAGGCCTTCACGCAATGCCGCTAAAAGGAAGGGTGGCTAGTGGGAGAAGAATTCCTCCCCAAGGGCGTGGATATGGTCTATAGCCAAAAGGAGAAGTTAAAGCAGAAGCAATCGGGCAAGCAAATGTCACTGCACAAAGGGCCATAGCATTGTTCGAGCCAGAGCTTTTGAGTTTTCCAATTGCAAACTAGAGAGATGGCAAACTCTCATCCCAAGTTTGTGGATGCTTAAAATTATAGCCCTAAAGAAGATGCACCATCATCATCGTCTAAAATATTTGAGGCAATAAGAAAATTGTCCAAACATGTTGAAAAAATAACTTGGCTGCTTCCTCACCTGTAACTATTTCAATTTCAACCAGGCACACCATCTTGCTGAAACGGTCAACCACCACAAACAGGTAGTCATGTCCATGCTTTGACTACTGTAATACCCTAGGAAGTCCATCCAAGGACTTTGGCTGCTGGGCACTAGTAGTGGTGTTTAGAAACCAAGTTCAGCTTCCAAGATGAGGGCGTTAAGCTTCAAGTTGGTTCAGTTATTCTTATTTTGTAAGGAAATATGTATAAGGTCTTCGTAGAGATTAGATAAGCGGCTATTCTTTTTCTCCCTTTTTGTAGGCTCTAGAAAAGAAAGTTTCTAATATTATTGGAAATTGTTTTATTCGTTCAGTTACATATTTTTTTCTTTGATTCTAACGCTTGCGCCAGACATGGACCTGCCTCAGCCCTTTACTTTAGGCGCGAAGCGTTTGGGTTTTCAAAGCAAAGAAAAAAGGTTCGAATCTTGACTATTGTGTTTCTTTGCATCTTCTAGCGCCTTTATGCTATTTTGATATTTCACTTCTTATTATTAGTTTTTAGTGGATTCAACAAATGTATTCTTTTGTTGACTCTCTCTTGAGGGATCAAGACATCATTCCAGGATTTGCTGTTTGACACATTTCCATTATGTTACATAGCTAAACTCGCCACCTCATGTGCCAAAGTCAAACGGTTGTTCTTCCTTTTCTCACTCCCTCTTTTTTCTTTTTCTACATTTGCGGTTAGGCAATAGTTCTATATGACCGACTACTTGTAGAAGTATTTTCACTATAATTTTAGTGATATTAGTATATGTTATGCTATGGTCTTCCCATGTGACTCCTATAAAGATCCCCGATGTGAGAGACTTCTGCAAGTCGATCTCCACCTTGCATAGGACCACTTTTTTAGCTTAGCTTTATGCTCATCCAATTGGATCGGACTCCCCCACTCGACTAGCCAAAGAATAAAGAATATATGGTCCCCTTTATTTGACCAGGAATCTAGGAAGCGGGGTTGTCGTAGAAGCGATAGCTTCCCCCAACCTATTCTACTACAAGACAATATTCGAGACCATGAAGAAAAGGCCTTTTTTAGGGCCTACTAGTTTCAAGGCTGCTCGCCTCCTAAACTTCAAAAGAAAAGGGCGATTCAAAAGAAAGGTGCTATGTTTCGAAGAAAAAGAAAGGCAAACAAGGTTGGTTTAGCAATAAGCATATGACTGCCTAATTGAATTAGGGAATCAAAAGAAGGAAAAATTCAACACAGCTGCTCAGAAATGCGCATATACAAGTCAAAGAAAAGGGCCCTGACTAAAGGCGAGAGTTTCATTGTACTTATATAGTGAAAGCGCAAGAAATGCCCCAATTCAAAGCTAGGAGAGAGGCTATAAGGAAGAAAGGAAAAAAACATTACATCTTACATGTTTTGTTCTATATTAAAAAACAAAACCTAAAGGATGAAACATGACTCTAACTAAACGACTAGCTTGCCTACCAGTAAATATGATCTCAGAACCCTACTTCAAACTTGGCTCTTTTTTAACATTTTTTAAAATGCCTTACAAAACGAACCTTCTCAAGATCTTAGACCTTCACTGATAGCGTACTAGCCTACCGATCTACCCATGAAGGGATGACTAGATGTATGTACCCGGTGGATTCAATCTAATATTTCACTGCTCACATCGTCAATGATTTCTTCTCAAATTCTCATACCAATGATCAAGTTCTCCCTTTTGAGGCCTTTCTACAACCAGCATCATTAGAGCCAGTTTGTTTTATACTAACTCGAGCCTTCTCACTTGGAGTCCGACTATTTGCTAATATTGTAGTTGGATATACACTACTGAAAATTCTTAGTTCTAGACTATTATTGAGCATTGGGATAACACTATGAACACTTGTTGGATCAGACCCAATGGGATGACTATCACACTTTGGGATTTACAGATTATTTCCGGCTTGCTAATCATCGACATTCCTTACGAGGAGTGTATTTCTTCATATTATGATTTGTTTAGTTGTCGACCCACTTCATCAGAGTTTGACATATTATTATCATCTTTATCAACAGAAGAGTAGGGGTCGTAGTTGTCAGGGACTTTTTTCTTAGACACTTAGATTAAGAGTTTGTTATGTCATACAATACATGTTGTTGAGTTTGCTTAGATTCATGACTCTTTTGGCAATGAATCTCATTATACCGGGCAACATTCAGAGTGGCTGATTGATCCTTGATAGCAGAGGAGTACAATCTATTTATGCTAGGGGGATTTTTGAGGATATGCTTTTTGTATCATTTATACTTAGTTGCGCTATTTTATTTTTTCTAGTCAGGGATAGATTTTTCTGCCCTAATACTTTTCTGATGGTAATCTTGATTACGAGATGGAGGGTTTTGATAGCTCCAACAATTCATGCACATATATATCAAAGTTTGAGGTAGATTTATACTTTATATGGTCGCGATCAACATAGTATAGAGATCCCTTGGCATTTCATTCACAGTTTGGTTCACATTCATGTCGTCGACACTTTTTGCTGTCTTGAGCTACTTGGTTAACTTTGTGGATCATCATTTTACTTCTATGTTTCAATTGGTTAGAGCAACCACATTTACAGATTAAGCTCATATTAGACTATTCATGTTTGATCCTCTTTGTCAAGATTAGGTAAGTGGCTATTCTTTTTCTCCCTTTTTGCAAGCTCTAGAAAAGAAAGTTTTCAATATTATTGGCAATTGTTTGATTCGTTCAATCACATATTTTTTCTTTGATTTTGATGCTTATGCCAGATGTGGACCATCCCTTTACTTTAGATGCGTAGAGTTTGGATTTTCAAAGCAAAGAAAAAAAGTCTGAGTCTCAACCATTATCTTGAACACCTTTTCCACCCTCAGACATCTCTATTGCGTTTGGCTTATGTAGCATTCAGATTGGATAACTCTACGAAATTACTTTGATACTTCGACATATTATGAGAAACTTGGGAGACATCTCTATTTCTTTTCCCCGTGGTGCTTTCAAGATTGAGTTCAGTTACTCATCAATGTTAAGCTGGGCCACAAACAAGTCAGATTGCCTTTGTTTTGATCGAAGTAATTGAGACTTTGCTAAAAAATTACCTCAAGAAATCAAGTGCTTAGCACTCCGTTTAAGGGGCAGTACTCACAGTAGTGTATTACACTATTTGGTGTTGGAGAGGAGAATATGTAGATTTGTGTAATCTCTTTGAAATGAAAAATATACTACGTTCAGCACATGCCTATTATCTAAAGATAGTAAGTGTTAGGGTTGACTTATGTCTGTCTCACCACTACCGAGACTACGTTCTAAAGCCTAGAGGATTTGAACCCTGTTGACTGCACGGTACAAACCAACCCATCAACCAAAAAATAATTCTCAATGAAAGCATGATATAGAAATGATAGCATAGCCACAACGCCAGCCAAGCCACTTATAAGAGATCCATAAGATTTTCAAAAAATTTCCACTTACAAATCTTAGAAAAAATAGCTTTTTTATTTTTGTTGAAATAGTAGAGTGGCAGCTCATTAAACCCCCACGTCTGGAATAGCCAGAACGCCAGTCAAGCCACTTATAAGAGATCCATAAGATTTTCAAAAATTTTCCACTTACAAATCTTAGAAAAAATAGCTTTTTTTATTTTTGTTGAAATAGTAGAGTGGCAGCTCATTAAACCCCCAAATTCTCTTTCATTTCTTTCTTTCCACATGAAATAGACAGAGCATAAAGTAATAAGAAGGTAGAGGTTTTTAACAGCAACCTCAAAGAACTCAAGATCGTTAATCCATTCCAACAAGTGTAAAACTGTTGGTCTAAGCAATAGAGAAGATGACCCCGGCAATAATTGGGTTATAACAGAGTATGAGAAGTTGCATTCAAAGAATATATGAGAGCTTCTTTCATTAGCAGAATGACATAGCTGGCATAAAGGATCAACATTGATATTTCTTTTGAGTAATACATCTATTTTTTTAACCTCCTATCAAGGATAACCAGGTAAAGATGGAAAATATCAATACATCTCTTTAATACCAAATCAGGTTATACCAGCAACATTGCGGAAGTTCTTTGTAAAACACCTTGACATAAATCCCAAATAAACCTTCAGTCGAACTACCCCAAGTTAAAGAAATTGTAGAGAATTCATGAATGGGAATAGCTCTGATGACTGTGGTGATAGACAATGGCAATGTATTAGGCAAATTCCTAAGTGTTCCTAATGATTAGATCCTTAACAAGAGCAGACGAGTCTAGTTCTTGCAGAAAAGCATATTGCCCTCAGGGATATCTTTAAGGGAATGCCCAGTTCGCTAATGATCCCAGTGCAGAGAAATGGGAGAGGAGGGAATTATCCTGAACTTAAATGCATTCCTTACCAAAACTGCAATGTTGCAAATGGATTTCCGTAAGACAGGCATAAGCGGAGGAGGACGCCAAGGTGAGGAGTATCTATGGATTAGCCTGGATGATAAAGGAGTTGCATAGTTGTACATTATGCTTGTAACAGAGCAATTTAAAGCAAATTGAAGAGATGATCGAGATGGCAATCCCAAACCACCAGAATTTTTGAGTTTGCAAACCTTGTCCCAAGATACCATACACATCTTTCTAACAGCATAAGTATCACAAATGAACAAAAATCTAGAGGATAATTTTCTAATAAATTTAATGATAGTTGTAGGTAAAATCGAACCCCTAATCTAATAAGCAATGGAGTTCATAATAGTAAATTTCAGATATTGCAAATGACTTACAAAAGAAAGAAGATTTGCCTTCCAACTAGTCATTTTCTTTGTGATTCCATAAGTGGCAGAAAGCCAGCCACCTTTAGTCTCTTGAAGGAGAGAGATTCCCAAATAAGTGATGTGAGTGCTCATATTAGAAATAGAGAGGGACTAGCATATGGCATGTTGATTATGGAGACAATTGAGTGCCATAACAGAGCTTTTCTCAAAATTAATGTGGAGTTTGGTAGCATTAGCAAAGGTATTGAGGATTTGTGCCAATTTCTTATAGTTATCCACCTCAGATTTACCAAATACCAACAAATTATCAACATATAGGAGATGAGATAGTTTGAAGCCATCAATATGAATACCAGTAAAGCCTCAATTTATAAAGGTAGAAAAACATCCATAACAATACAAAATTGGTAAGGACTGAGCCGGCAACCTTGCCTTAAGCCAGCATAAGAGGGAAAATAGCCCTCAACATCTCCATTTATCACAATAGAATAGTTGACATCAAAAATGCAGGCTTTAATCCATTAGATGAAGGTGCTATGAAAATCTTTTTGAACCAATCTAGCAAGTAAAAATTCCCTAGAATCTATGTCATATGCTTTGCGGATGTCCAACTTAGTAAAAAAGTAATTATGAACTCCTCTACAAAGGGCTAAACAAATGATCTCATTGGAAAGGATGATGTTATCCATTGAAATTCTAGATTTGACAAATCCAGCTTGATTGTCTCTAACAATCAAAGGCATAATAGGTTTAAGTCTATTGGCTAGAATTTTAGCTATGATCTTGTAGAGGATATTACATAAAGCAATTGGTCTGAAGTCGGACAAGTAATTATCATGCTTGGTTTTGGGAATAAGGTCAAGAGAGTGGCTTTAACCTCTTTAGGAAGATAGCCTTTATGAAAGAAGGATCCACTGCCTTGCACAGAGACGGACCAAAAATTTGCCAGCCTGATTTATAAAAATAAAAATTGAATCCATCCAAACAAGGAGAGAAGGAGGAAGCCCATGAGAACACAGCATTTTTTATTTCATCATTAGTGACATGATTTATGAGAGGTTGAGACATAAAGGTGTAAAGACAACTCCCAACAGGGAAAGTATCCATGTCATTGTAAGTGGGTGGAGTAGGTTTGTAAATAGCTTGAAAGTGACTTATAATGGAGCTAATGACCTCATGTCTTGAAGAGATAGAGGATTAGATAATCCCATACTCATTACCACTTTTTTGTTGTACTGTCGACTCTGAATTTTAGCATATAGGAACTTTAAATCTTCCTCCCCTTGAGATAGGCAAGAGGCTTTTGCTCTCTGGATAATCCAAGAAGCTAACAAGTTAGTATAATCAGTAATTATGGAATTAATACCTTTGAGTGTGGCATTAAGAGTAACATTTAAATGGCCAGCATTGATCCTTCTAAGGCATTCTGATTGCAAATTTTATAGAATCGAAAGCTGAGAGTGAATAATGTTGAAGTTCTCCCAATCCTTCTTAATGATATCACCTTTTAAAAGCTTTAGCTTATTGCAAAAATCATGAATTGGATTGCCAGAAATTGGGCTAAAGAAGGCATCAAGGACCTCCTCCCAATACCTATCCAACTTGGACCAAAAGTTTTTAAAAAGAAATCTATGTTTTTTGGAATGAGAGTTACCAGAGCGAAGAATGACGGGGAAATGATATGAACATATGGGAGTTTAAAAAGAGCAAAACGAACTAGGGAAAACTTTCACCCATTCCTCATTCACAAGGGCTCTATCCAGTTTTATGTGAATAGGATTATCCAGTCATTTACCATGTGAAATGACTGCCCACCGAATGCAGATCTTTCAAGCTAGTGTCAAAGTTCATTGAGTTTAGCTCCCAGAGATTATTATGATTAAGCAGAGCTCCTTACGCCTTTTCATGAGCAAAATGACAGCAATTGAAGTCTCCCATAAGGATCCAAGGAGAGTTATTTGAAGGCACTAACTGTCTAATTTGATCCCATAAAATTAACCTATCAAATGCATTATTTGCAGCATAAATGACAGAAAGATAGAAAGGGGGAAGGCACCCAACAGAAATTGTCCCAGAGATAATCTGTGAGGAAATAAGAAAAGGAGAGAATGTAATCTTATTAGGATTCCATTTGATCGATATACGGCCAGACTTGGAAAGGGAAAAATTATTGCAACTTTCTTTAGTAGTGAAAACCGAATGGGAAATACTGAAGAAAGGAACCAAAAGAGCGAGAGCATGAATCTTGTTTTCCAATAAACATAACATATCCAGTTTGAGGGAGGCAACCATACGTTTACAACATACCACCTTATCAGGGCTATTGAATCCCATGATATTCCAAACCGCTATTAGAGGCACATACATTAAGGTTTAGGAGATGGGGTTTTTCGACCTTTCCCCCTTGAAGATTTTTTACAAATTATTGAATTTGTGTGATGCTAGAGCATTCATTGCCGAAAGAATCAGATGTTGGTTCAGTTGAGACTGCATCCTGAGTCTCCCCTTCTTGTTGGAGTATGTCAAATTTCTTAGGAGAGATCACCCCAGTAAGGGTAGAAGCATGAGATATATGGGGGATATGTGTGGTACTGGTTGATGAATTATCTTCTTTAGTGGGAGAGTTTAGGTTAGGAATATTAGGGAGGGGAGCTTCAACCACAGTTGTGGGAGGGATAGATTTGTCCAAAGAGGTCTATTGGGACTGATTGACAGGAAACGACTGAGAGGTGGGTTTGTTGAGCTCTGCATTACTGTTAGATGGGGGAAGGGAAGGAGAGGTATGACCCGATACAAGAACAATGGAGGTGGAGGGTGAGTTGTTAGTGGCTGGGGCAAGAGCAATGGAAACGGGCTGGCCAGATTAGAGGATTTTTTGTTAGGTGTCGCATGACTTCTCAATTTTCTACTAGTACTCCTACCTCTAATAATATTTATTGCATTACTAGTATGATCTAAAGTGAGGGGCGGCTTTGAAAGGTAGAGCGAGGAGTAATGAACTAGGGAATTACAAAATTCACTTAGAGTATGTCTCCATTCGTATTGGACTTTCAAGCTGAACTCATCCCCGTCCAAAGAAATGGGAATTTCATCTGGGAACTTGGCATTGTAGCCAAACTTAACACATATTCTGGCAAAGGTGAGGCAAGTCCTTTGAGCTGTCAAAGAGTCCACCGCGAGGGGAATGCCCACTTTACTCGAAATTCTGGAAATCCCTTTAGAATTCCAGCAAGTCAAAGGCAGATCGTGGATCTTGATCTAGATAGGAACAGAGGAAAAATTTTCCCTCTGGGGCCAAAATGTGGGTGCCATTTTTTTAGGATGAAAGGTTTACCAAGGAGAAACCAGACTCCTCTAAACCATACCAAGTCATAATCTTTTAATGGACAAAAAATGAAGTAGGAAGAAATCATCGCTTAAAAATAAAATGTTGAATGAACCTTTAAGCGGCAAGGTTTTTTGAATATTGCCAAGTAAAGCTTCGTAGAAAGGCCTCATACCTAAGGAGTATCCTGCCAGGCACAAGCTTCAGTCTTGAGCACCAGCACACAATCTTTCTCCTAAAAAACCAACAGTTTAATGTTCAAAGGGGTAGAAGGAGATGGTTATTTTATCGGGTGAGGAATTTGTGGAGGCAAAAATGTTTGGCCATTTGTGCTAGGGGAGGTGCGGACCCCATTACCCAAGGAGGTGAGAGGGGGGAAATCAGAAGAGAAAGTGGAAGGATCCATTAGAGGGGGGAAGGGGTGAAGGGAGTCGAGGGAGAAAACCTTCGACAGAGCCACTAGAGGAGGAAAAAAGATGACGGGGATTAGTCAGCTAGGGAAGAAACCCTAGCAGAGCAACTCATTATATGGATGTTTTTACTAGAGATTTGTAAGAGGATGTTCTGTGGTGTATGCTTTTTGCTTATGATATTGTTCTTGTTGATAAGACTAAAGAGGGAGTTGAAGATAAACTTGAATTATGGAGGTCAACCTTAGAGTCTAAAGTTATTTGTTTGAGTAGATCTAAAACCAAATACATTAAGTGTAATTTTTGTAGTAATAGATCTAGTGAGGGGTTTGTGACTTTTAGTGATCAAGTCATTAATAAGAGTACACATTTTAGATATCTTGGGCCTGTTGTTCAGAGTGTGGTGAAATATATAGGGAAATTATTAATAGAATTCATGTTGGATGGATGAAGTGGAGGAATGCATCAGGCTTGTTGTGTGATAGAGAAGTATCACTCAAACATAAGAGAATATTCTATAAGATGATGGTTAGACCTGCAATGCTTTATGGAGCAGAATATTTTCCATTAAAAGAGAAGCATAATATTAAGTTGTGTTGCAGAGATGAGGATGCTCAGGTGGTTGAGTGGCTTTACTCTTGAAGACAGGATACGAAATGAGCATATAGGTGAAAAGGTTGAAGTAGCTCTAGTGGTATATAAATTAGATTGAGTCGGCTAAGATGGTTTGATCATAGAAAATGGCGGATTTCTGATTACCTGGTTAGGAGAGTAGACGTATTATATTTAACTTATGTTAAGAAAGGTAGAGGTAGACCTAAAAAATTTGGTTAGAAAATATTAGAAATGACCTTTCTTTATTAGATCTAAATAAAAATTTGACTCTTAACCAGACATAATGGAGAAAAAGGATTCATGTAGCTGACCCAACGTAATAGGATAAAGACTTGATGTTGTTTTTGTTATTATTGTTGTTGTTGTAATATAAATTATATTTTTTCAATACAATAAATAACTCTACTCTACATTATATTTGTAACTTAAAAAAACCTTTATTGGGGAGGGCATATCGAGAATGACGATGTGCATTAGAGTGCAATAATAATGGGTTTAATGAGAACCACTATGGGGCTGTTTGGTTGTATGAAAAGAAAATGCAGTGTAAAGTAAATACAATATAAAATAAATGTAGTGCATTTCGAATACTTTGAGACTGTTTGATTGTCTGCAAAATAAACGCAGGAAAATTGTTTCCCTTGTTTGGTTAGAATGATCCAGAGTAAAGTAAAAGCGATTATTTTTTTCATAATTAATTTTGGCATTACAACTAGTATATTTATAAAAGAATTGTCTTTATAATAATTAGTATTATTTGATGTTATAAAATAAAATCAATGTATTTATTTATTGCACTATCTTATTATACTTTTTTTTTCAGATTATAAGATATAATATTGTGTTGTGTATTAATTTAGCAGTGTGCTGCAATAAACATAAACATACTTGTGATAGAAAGAAATTTTAATTTTAAATTTTTTGAAAATTTAAATTTTTTATTTTTCAAGTAATGTTTAAAAAAAAAATAGAATAAGAGAGTATTATATCTTATTAATGATTTTTCTCTTTGCCCATCTGAAACCGTTTTTCAGCCCAATGTATGAACTATTTTGCAGGTTGCAAACTGAAGCACATATTCATGAATCTGAAATTTCAATCACAGTTAATATAAATCAACAACATTTATTAAACATATTTAATAGTGCAACAGACTCAACCCAACAATGCTGAAAAAACAATCCATATAGCTAATCACTTCAACATTCTAAACACAAATAGAAATAGTAGAAATCACTTTTTGCCAAAGTCACAATTTTTAGATCTTGAATCCAACGCTACACAATATCCTTAAGAGCTGGTTTCATCTCCTGCTCCCAGAGCTTCTGATACTCTAATGTATCTCCATTGCTCTGAGTGATTTCAACCATATGAAATGAAGGAGTCAGCTCAAATATCTCAACATCAAAGGCCAAAACTTCCTTTCCACCTTTTATTTCTTCCATTTTCAAAACACCTACATCCTTCTTTCTTCAAACTTAATTGCTTAGCAACCTCCTCGAGCTTCAAAATAATACTGGAAGCTGGCTTAGAGGATGTGAATCTTACCATTCTCTTGCACTCAGATGCTTCAAACAGACCAGAAAGATCAAAACCTGTTGAAAGAGAAATGATGTCAAAAGCATTTAAGTTTATAGGCTTTGAAATTTCTTTCTTTTCTTCAGCACAACTGGTCTCAGATGAATTGAAAGCTGGTAAGTTTAACAAGTTCAATTAATATATATTTATTTCATATTTACATTATTCAGAAAAATATGAACACATTTTTCAAAAGCATTATGCATACATTGGGAGCAGTAATGGGATATTCAGCTTAAAAACCCCTCCTAATCAAAGGAATAGATAAAACAAAAACGCATCAGATTCAAATGGTCATAGTGGCGCTGTTATTCTATTTTTTTGTAGGGAATATAATAAGCACAACTATCATAATGATGAACTTACTAAGCAAATGTGCTACTGAAAGAATTGAAGCAATGAAGGTGCTAGTGTAGTATATGTTCTCCATCATATATCTTCAGCACAAATCAACATTGTGATATGCTAGATTTTTTAAAACAAAATCAGCTTAAAAATTTTCTAAAACAGGGTCTTAAATATGTTCTGCAGCACTTAGAAGAAAAAAAATGTAGGATTAAATCATCCATTTTCAGCATAGCCAAGAAAAATTAAATTTTGGTAGGATGTAGATTCAGTTATTGCAAAGCAAATCCAATAAAGAATCATTTAAGTAAAAATTATGCAAATCAATTGATCGAAAGACACCAATAAAGGAGGCTAAGAATTGCCCAGTTTTCATCATCAGATTGAGTAATGCCAACCACTGCATTCAACTTGAACATCTCAATTTGTTAGCTGCAGAACAGATGTATAGACAAAAGAGTGGAAAGAAAGATATATAATCAAGTTAATAACATAGAAGCAAGCAGTAGTATCTGACTAATGCAGAGATTCACACAATATAATTAAAAAAAAAAAAGTTCAATATTAACATGCAGATAAAATTAGAGAGAATATTACAGAATTTAGATTGCAAACATATAGCTCCAAAGAACAATGAAGCAGAAAGGAATGACATATTGAAGATAAAAGATAAAGGATGACTAAAATGATAGGTTTACATCCCTTAACATAATTTTTTTTAAATGAATATACAAATATTTTGATGTATCTAATTTATAATAGCTTTTGCTATAGTTGTTCAAATAAATGAAGTATTAGAGGTTGTGGTAGATTAATTAAAAGTTAAAATATAAAACTCTAACTAGAGCCATAGAATTAATTGGATGATTTTACCCTATAAGATCAAATAATCAGTATTATGTTTGGTTAAGTTTAGTCGAATACCCCATCGGTATGGTACAATTGTCATTTTATTCCTTGAAAAGGACTTAGAGTTTTTCTGTGATATTTGCGCACTTAAACGTGATAGATAAGTTTGAAATGCTAGTTTTATGATAAGTTTGTAATGTTCACTTTCCTAAAAAAGAAAAGAAAGGCCTTTTAACAAATTGAAGCAAGTATTGTAAGCAAGCAAGAGGCTCTCGTGAGAAGAGAAAGAGCACTGGTATATGCATTTAGTCATCAGGTATTTTGCTTTTCCAGCCGTTCTGTGTTTGAATTGAGCTGTGGCTAACTCTAAAACTCTTCTAACCAACCTTGAGTTCTTAAAATTGTTCATACAATGGAAGAACCCTTCAAGGTCAGTAAATCCCGAGTTTACATAGTCCTATAGTTGGGCGATTTTAGAGGATTTGGCAGAAGAAGGTCGGGAAGGTAGAAAGTTACCTTAACAACGTGCGTGCTCCCAAGTTACTTGCGACAAAAATGTTCTAACTTTCGTATAGATCAGGAAGGGAATGATGTAGACGGGGCGAAACTGACCAGCAACGAATGTGGCAAAGAGGCGTGCGACTAGGGTTTCCCAGTCAGCGAACTCTCATCTGGCCTCCGACAAAGTGTCGTGTCTTCCGATCCGATCGGAAAGGCAAGCCGTCAAAGGAGCGAAGTCGATCAGCAACAAAGGAGGAGGAGAATAGAGGGAGCTGGGAGAGAAGGCTTCGGCTTCGCGAGAGGGAGAGATTCGATTTCGCTCGCATGCGAAGAACGGAGAAGATAGGAGCACTTATAAGCTCAGATTCTGCGAAATCATCGTACGGGCTGGTTCTCTTTTTATTTTTTTTTTTGTTGGCGCGAGAAAATTTATAACCTGCTAAATTTGAGTGGTTTCGACGTCTCATGAAAGGCTGTATGTAATACACCGCTGATATTTTGGAGGAGTTTTTTATGCTCCGTTCAAAATCAATCAAACTATCTAATTTAGAAAATGCATGAAATTACTTTCGTTTACCCTCCTAATTCTAGATACCAAACAGCCCCTATGTGCGACAAGAAGAGTAGTTTGGGGATGAACTCAAGCGTAGGGTCATGAATCCCACTTTTGTGTACCCAATACTGAAGTTAATATAATTTTTATAGAGTAAAGGCACACGAAGAGGAGTGGTGGAATTACTTAGGTTTATGATTATCTGAATAAACAAAATGTTTATATGTGATAAAATAACGAAGGTATTTTTCTAATTACATTTATTATAAGGTATATACATTCAAATTTTCTTTTCTTTTTCTTTTGTTTCAATTTTTTTTTTTTTTGAATTTATTTATTTTTTTTTTTTAATTTTTGAACTATTTATTGATAGTTTATGAAATATTACCACTTGACATGTCATAAAAAAGTTATCATGATCGAGCATGAATCTCGATGTAAATATGAAGCGAAAACTTAAAAAATTAAATCAAAGAACAACTAAACTCTGATTTTAGCAAACTTATAGACAAACTGAACGTTGGAAAGTGACGAACCCAATGTCACCAAAATTGGTCCAATTTGAACCCCACTGGGTCTATATCGAGGGCCTGAAGCCTTTTTGGAAGCTTTAGAACATTAATTGAATGAGTAAATGATATCCGAATGTGACATGCTTATAGATAAATTGAGCAACTCAATGATGAATCCAATGAGCCAAAGATCATTGAATTTTGACATCATTATGATCAATAAACAGTCCATGATCAAGGGAGTTGATATCATTCGTCCATTGAAACAATCCCAATGTGTCCTTGGTCTTCAGGCCCTGATGATTGAAATTGTAACTCAGGAATCAAGATTGAAATTGTAACAGTCTGTTATAACTCAGGAATCAAGATTGAAATTGTAATTTTTGATGATAGCAAAATATTATTGTCCTGATGATTTTATTATTTCCCCTAGCATATATTGGATATTTATATTTGTTTTTGTGTGCGCTAACATTTTAGGAAAATCATATAGTACTCTAGATTGTCGAAGACTTCAAGACAGTGTATAATATGATTTCATGTAATAGATTTTGTATATCTCTATTTTTATTTCTTCAGTTTGAGGATGTGTAATTGCAATTAGGTAATCGTATACACACAAGGGGAGAGTGGTAAAAATTTTTTAAGTATGACCGTATTGTACAATATCTATTCATATTGTATGATTTTGCATATTTTTCCTCTAGAATGTAGTTAATAAAATCATGGCTTGAATTTTTTAAATTTATTTATTCGTATTGTACGATATGAAGTCATATAAATGACTAACATAGTACAAAATTATATTCCTACCAAATCGTACCAAACGAACACATTCATTTTTGAATTGTTCGCACAGTATGATTTAGGTCATATAGACGATTGACAGAGTACAGAATTAGGTCTTATAGACGACTGACAAAGTACATGATGTATAGAATGTTGATGAATTGCAACCTTTGCCCAAGAGGTTGTTTGGCTGTGGAAAATGCGGAGCATATAATGGTTCTCTATGAGAAGCTTATTCCTGTTATTGAGTTGATTAATAAGTGGGGATTTCATCTTCCAATATTCTCTTCTTTTCTAGATTGTATGAGAAATTTGGACCTGCTCTATAGTACTAATCCTTTCATTGCAAATCTATACTGTCCGTTGGTGTTCTTCCCGTGGAAAAGCAGAAAGTGTTCAACATGGTGGAAAAGAGTTTGGATTGGGATATATTGCATCTAATGCAATTAGAATTACGTTAATTTCAACAAAAAATAATATCTATTCGGATCACTGGGGTGTTAACTATCGCTCGATATTTCAATCTTGGCGCCCTCCTCCACCCAGATGGATCAAATTCAATTTTGATGATGCTTTATTGAAGTCTAATGAAGCTGGACTTGCTGGAATTTTCAGATATTCCAAGGGAAGTTTCAGCTTGCCTTTGGATTCAAATGTGTCCATTGGGATAGTGGTCTTTTAGAGCTTTTGGCTTTCAGATCGTTGGAAAAGATACTACAAGATTGAAGAATGGAAGCCAAAGGAATTTTTATTGAGGGAGATAACTACAATGTTATCAAGTATCTACAAAGATCGGTTAATAATGTGTTTTGCTCAAATGGACCGTCTTCATTGGCCACTAGTAACTATAATTGTCGACCGCCTTTACTGATTTATGCAATATGTAATAAAAATAAAATTGATATTTATTTAAGATACCAAATATATTATTAGTCAATCATAATGCAAAAATAATACAAAATAAAAAAATATAAAGAAAAATATGCCCTAAAACGCTGTCCACTAGTCACTATCATTGTGGACCCCCAACAAGCAAGTTGCACTCCTATGCAACAAAGCCATCTAATCCAATAAGAGAAAATAGAGCCCTTTCAGTATCATTTAATTAATCAATCAAATGAGGTTAAAAACTTATATAAATACTCTATTATAAGTACTCAAATTATAAATAAATGAACCTGAACTATTTGTTTGATTCATTTATAATCATAAATAATATCATATCATTCAAAACTCTGAACAAACTGATTAAGAAGATTATTTGAGGCTTAATATTTTCAATTAGAGCTCTAATATAAATTTCTTTAATATGTAATTATGTGCAAATTATTCTTTTTTTATTATATTTCTTTTTCTCATGAACATAAACTATTAAAATACTTATTTATTTAATTGAAATCTCATTTTTTTAAGCTCAATTAAAAAAATTATTCAATGAACTAGCCACATGTTTGATAATATAATTAAATCACTAATATGTTTGATAAGACTCATTTAATAGCTAGTGAACTACACTCAAAATAATCTCAACACTATCATAATTACTGGAGATAGAGCTCAACAAAACTTATAGTAAGCAAGCTCCTGCTCAACTCAATTCATTTCCAACCCTTCTCAACCATAGCCCCCCAACTTTAAATGATTCTCATCAATCATTGGCAGCATTTAGAAAATCATGCATAGATATCCTTTATTTACAAATACTTTTGAGCATTCTCAAGCTTTGGGAAGTTGAATCTAGTTAGTAAGAAGATTCTGCTAATCTTATGCTATTTTTTTTTTAAATAAATTAAGATGTTCACCTTCGTTTGTCATAGCATTTTTATTGCTTTTTAAAAGAGCTTTTTAATACAAGAATTTCTTAAACTAAAATTTTTATACTAAAGAGCAATTTTAAAAAACATTCAGAAAGCCGCTCCAAATGAAGCCATAATCCCAAAACCAACTAAAAAAATAGAAAATATAGAAAGGGTCAGCTCTAACCTTTCTCAAAGCTGGTGCTAGCAATTTATCTTCATAATACCATTTAAATTCACAAAGGCAAACTCCAATCCAGATAATGAAATTCACAAGATTGACAAACTCAAAACTATATACACAAATTTATGTACCTTGGATACGACACAAACAACAAAATCAGAACAAATTCATTCTACAGCAATAAAAAAATAATAAAAGTGCACCTCTGATAGAAATCTCAGCACCTGCTGTATGGAAGAGCTGGGTCTAACGATATATAACTTGCACTTTCTGTGTCCAATTCTGATTTTCCAGATACTTGGCAGGTCAAAAAAGGGTGAGCTATCAAATAAAATTATTTCAGAATGATTAAACAGTTGAAGATGATTTATCATTATTGTCGCTTTTGTTTCTAAGTCTCCCTTTGGGATTCAATTTCCCTTCTCCCTTGACCGTTCAGGGATGTCTCCGGTCCTGCAAATTGAACTGGTTTAGAAATGGTTCGAAAGTATTCAGCTCCAAATTAACTAGTTGGGGAAAAAAGCATAGAAAGCTTTATAATTTCCAGGCAGATGAATTTGGTATTTGCAGGCAGTAGTCTTTATATAAAAATTAGTAAGTCAGTAAAACTAAGTGCCTAAATTCGCTGAGGGAATATACAGATATTTCAAGAATGGATCAAAATTTAGAAATATTTTTTTTTTTTGAAGAGTTTCATTTATTTGGTTCTGAAAATATTACAATTGCAGAAACCAAATTAATTAAACATGCACAAACTTATTATTGGTGAATTGTTGCGAGCAAAACAAAACATGAAACTCATCTAAAATAATAAATTAGGGGGATGTTTGGCAACATGATTTATGCTCAATCCTGCTAAATTGGATTTGAGCACCTGGTAAATCTCATGGCGAAATAACTCCTTTATTTCGCTCTTCTTTCCCTAAATCCAAAATTTGATAAATCCTGGAATTCATCGGATTTACGGGATTTGGCCGATGAAGTGCGTGAAAGGGATCAAGATTGTTACCTTCGCGGCGAGCGAACTCCTGTCGTGACGTCCGATCCAATGTTGTCGAAGGAGGCGGAGCTTTAGTGACTCTTTCATAACACTACACGCAAAGCAACAACGATGAAATGGCCATGAGGGAAAGCAACAACAATGAAGAAATGGAGAAGAAGAAAAGCAAAACCTGGACGGCCTACCATCTAAAACTAGAAATAAATCTAAATTAACTTTTTAATGACTGTAACTTAAAATATTTAAAATTAATTAATTTAATTAAATAATTAATGATATAATGTTGTTGTTGTAGATATAATTAGTAGTATAATTAAATAATTTAATTTAACTCAATTAAAGAATGAATAGTATAATTAGTAATTAAAACTTATTATAATTAACTTAAGTGATTAATAAGATTATTAATATTATAATTAATAATCAAAACTAACAATATAACACTTAATATTTATTAAATCGTTAGGAATATTAGTTAAATAATTAGTTATTTCAAAAAATAATTAACTAATTAATTAGATG